GAAGTACCACATCAGCAACAGAATCCGCAACAACGTTGGGATCATCCGGCGAGAAGCAAACCCGCCCCCAAGGGTAGGATGCAAAGAAAGACCGCATCCCATCCCAATCGGCTGACCTATAGTGCCAAACACGGCGGCAGCCTGCAGAATGCAACCGCGATTTCAGCGTGAGTGGCACTACACTCCGGACCAGACAATGGTCCGAGGAGCCTAAAGGGGCGTCGACGGAAATCTGATATCCGTCCGGGTGAGAGGTCAGCAGAAGGTCCAACAGGGAAGGTGCATGATCCTCCACATCTTGAATCCGCGTAGGCGAAGTAACCAGTTGTGTCAGACCATATGCCAAGGCAAAATCATGAACAGATCTCCCCGCATGATCGGTTAAACGTGAACCAAGCCATTCGGCGTGATGGGCGTTAAAGTCGCCGAGGATCACGATCTCTGCGGAGGGGATCTGCTGTAGCAACGAATCTGTAGCCATTTGGACGTGGTCGAATAGTCGGTCTGATTCGGCATTACCGCTATGGGACCTATAGAGGCACCCGTAGACGCGCGGATGGTCGTCGCTGTCTACGCGTAGCCAAAGGATGGACAGGTCCGAACCTTCAAGTCTGCCGAGGCGTCGAGAGCAGATGTCCTCTCTGACGTAAACGCAAACTCCAGCGCGAGGCACAAAGGAGTGTTCCAGTTTGTACCCCGGGTAGGAGAGATACGAGACATCAGCCGGAGAGGACACCTGCGTCTCGGTCAGAAAGAGCAGAGCCGGCCTCGCCGTCTCGAGATGGTAGTGGACGGCGTTTAGGTTAGAGTGAAGTCCCCTGATATTGCAGAAATTCACGGACAGCGTGGCAGGGGTCACCTTGGTCTTGTTGCTCCGTTTGCCCCGAGCAGTTGTAGTCTTGAGCGGAATTTTGCCCCTCCCCCCCCAGATTACGCGGGGCAGCCTGAGCACCCACGCTCAGAAGTGGAGAAACATGGTCGTGGATGCTCAGCGAGGGATTCTCCAGGGGTGCTGGTACCCTCCTGGGGTAGTCGATCATTATTTAATTCCGCTACCATGTTGATGAGGGGGGGGATTTGGGCCTCCGGCCACCTGCACTCACAAGACGAAACGCGGAAGCAGAGCTTCCACTTCACGCCGGTATTCTGTGAGGTCGTGGTACCACCCCGGTTTGAGCCGGCCCATACGTGCAGCAGCAAAGCTGCCGCGTGGCTCTACCACTGTTATAAATGCTATAAATACTTACCTGGAATCGGCGTCATGGGAGAATGAATTTAGTTCTTAATGAAATGGTAAAAAGATTCTATGAACTGCTAAAATATGCTATTGAAAAGCATATTCCTATGACTAAAGCCGACCATGGGCCTTATCCTGTGTGGTACTCATCCCATTTAATCAAACTTTTAAGACAAAAATATAGATACCATAAAAAAATTAAAAAGTATAAAAATTCACGAGATCAAATAGAATTTGAATATTTAAGACATAACTGTAAAAAGCTAATAAAGGAGTGCTATAATAAATACATAAATACAATAGAGACAAATATTAAAACCAACCCCAAACTATTTTGGACATATATCAAAAATCTACGAAAGAATTGCTCATTATATCCTAATACCATGACCTTTAAAGATGATAAATCATCAGATACAAAGCTAATAGTGGACATGTTTGCATCTCATTTTTCTTCAACATATGAAAGAGATCTTAATGATAACAATTCAAAAAATAATATGTACACTGGACTAATAGCTAATTCCTTTGATGTTATCGGGGAAATTCAATTTAGACCAGAAGATGTCAAAAATAAACTGAAAAAGCTAGATATCACAAAGGGAGTAGGCCCAGATAATATACACCCACTACTTTTATTAAACTGTGCAGATGCGTTGACTTTTCCACTAACTTTTCTATACAATCGATCTCTCAAAATGGGCATATTCCCCAATGAATGGAAACTAGCAAAAGTAGTCACTATATTTAAGAATGGAGCAAAAGACTTAGTAGTTAACTATCGTCCGATTTCTATCTTATCAGCAATACCAAAAGTATTTGAATCATTAGTTCACTCTGTAATTTATCGGCATACTCAAAAATACATCAACGAAAATCAGCACGGTTTTATGTCAAGGAGGTCGACCAACACTAATCTTATTCTTTTTACTTCAGATTTAAAAGAAAAAGTAGATCAAGGCTTACAAGTTGACGCCACCTATACAGATTTTTCGAAAGCTTTTGACAAAGTAAATCATAGCATCCTGATTAATAAATTATATTTATTTGGAATTACAGATAACCTACTGGAGTGGTGTAAATCTTACCTTTCAAATCGCTTTTCTAGGGTGGTAATTGATGGCAAACAATCTGGGCTATTTGAAGCATTTTCGGGAGTTCCCCAAGGCTCGATTTTGGGACCGTTATTTTTTAATATTTTTGTCAATGACATAACACGTGTGATAAACCATAGTGATGTATATCTTTTTGCTGACGATCTTAAAATTACGAAAACAGTTTCAACGGCTTCAGATGTGTAACACCTCCAGGAAGACATTAATAATCTTCACGAATGGTGTAACAACAATAAAATGTTTTTAAATGCTACAGAATGCTATCATATTAAGTACAGCAGAAAATGTAATAATTTTGAATCGATATACACAATAGCAGGCACAAAGTTGGAAGAAGTGATCACTATTCGAGATCTTGGTGTCATAATGGATGGTCATCTGAAGTTTGCGGATCATATTAATAAGATAGTGGAGGAAGCAAATAGGTCGCTTGGCTTCATATTGAGAAATACAAAGGATTTTAAAAAGCCAGCCACTGTCATTAAGCTTTACAACAGTTTTGTAATAAGCAAGCTTGAGTATTGCAGCACAGTATGGTGCCCCACTTATAAAACTCACATAGAGAGGATCGAGAAAGTTCAGAAAAAAGTAATTCGTAGTTTAACTTACCGTTTTGGTACTCCAAGAAATGTCAAAGCCTATCATGAAAAAATTAAGCACTTTCAACTAGAACCCCTTTCCCTACGCCGAAATCACTTAGACATGTCACTCCTACATGAGATCATAAATAATTACATTGACTGTGTCCCGTTATTGTCCAAATTTCAATTTAACGTACCATGCAGAATACCACGATATCCGTGTAGCCTTTTTAAGATCAAATTTTGTAGAACGAACTTAGGTCGCGACTCCCCAGTAATCCGTATATCTTGCCTGTACAACAAGCTCACCAAAAATGAACCCGACCTCGACGTTCACCATGATACCCTTGCTCAATTTATTGCCAAGCTAAAGCATGTTGACGTACGTTAAACTTCAGTTACACAATTAACTTTTATTACTTTATCATTATTTTTTATTTTATTTTTTATTTAAGAACATATTTTTCTCAATTTTGTTTAACATTTGTAACACAACGCATGCTGTGATTGCCTATAATTATAAGAGCAGTTAATCATGTAAATTTAAAACGCTGTAATGTAACCAAACATTAATTGCTGTTTCTTATGTTGGTAATCCAAAAAAAAAATAAAGGTATACAATCAGATAATCTCAACGACTCAACTCGAAACATAGGTAATAAGTCCCTTTTCTGCCAAGGAGTTCACCTGGAACCCTCAGGTCGGATAGGTATGGTCTGGAGGGTATGTAGAGCCAGAATAATTACATGCTGAGAGACATTCCATCTTAGTACTCAGAGGTGACAACGCATCGGCAGCTTTCTTTGCTTTAAGATGAGTGCAAGTGTCTGCCTACAGGCTGCAAAAACTACTTACCAACAGGGAACTGTAACTTCCTCTGTCCCTTTAGTTTTACAATAAAATAATTCAATAATTTGGATTCTCCAAGGATAGTAAATAAATTTCAAACATAGTACCCATAAAATAGTGAAAAGATACTATGTTTACTTTAGAACATCAGTACTACCACAGCTTTTAAACGAGAGTTTGGAGTAAAAGAAGTTTGTAGTAAGCTGTTTATTTATGATAAATGTCCTTAATAAGTCAAAATTATTTTCACTTATGCCAAATTATATCCAAACCCAAGCATACCACTGCAAGACATCAAGATACTGTAAGCTCGTTCTGCCAAGATCGGACCAAAAATTTATATTCTAAAACTGAAGGTAGCCGTGCTAACTATGATATTGGGACGTAAAACATCTCGAGACCATGTAAGCACACGAAACTTCGGGAATCAAAAAATAAGTTAATGAAGCGCGATAAAATCCGTATATGTGGTTTAATTCAATGTATCAGGAGTGTTTGGAAGAAGTTCAAGATAACGGACTCCACTTGGGCTGTCCGTCTTACTATCGATTCCTGAACGTCGATAAATAATGTCAGTTTTATTTCTGTCACATACATACATACATACAGTCATACAAACAGTCGGAGCTCATATTATAAGAGTCACAGTAAGAAAAGTAGATTAATATTAGTTTATTGGCGCTAATCAGTTTAGGGTTGAATTTAACAAGAATTGTTTCTAAAGAACAATTTAGCTACAATATTAGAATATTGTTACATAGGAAAGCTCTGATTTACTTTGAATTACATATTTTAAATGCCGATGATGACAATGTCCACCTGATCCTCTTCTGATATCCTGTATCTCTTGCCAAGTCCTCATCTCTACAATTCGCTTAACAATATGAGGCTGCCACTTGAGAACCTTTCTTCCCTATAGGTTGTCGCTTCTTTTAGATATATGGCCATCATAAGCGTAATGGTATGTATATAGCTTATATATGTATTGCCATTCATATCCATACAGCACCATCGTTACAAATATTGTTTTTTTAATTTCACAAAGTAAAAAACAATAGACAATCTATATAAATAGTGTGCTTTATGGCTAAATACTCAAAGGCTACACAATTTTATGAAATTATTTAGTCTCACGGTATCATAGTCACTTTGACTTAAAATGATTGGTAACATAAAATATAATATTAAGTGTTTTAATAAAAAAGCTTAGCAACACACCTGTTCTGATAGAGACGCATGCACCGCACAGTTCCTGTGTGCCCAGTCAGCACTTGTAGGCACTCTCCAGTCATGGCATTCCAAACGCGCAGTGTACAATCAGTCGAGCCGCTGATGACTAGGTCACCGCCCATTTGACATGAGCTCACGCCACCGAAATGACCCACGAAGGTGCGGAGACACTGAAACAGGCGACCAAGTTTGTGACGACCTAATATTTGCGTTAGCTTATCTTTTCTTGTAAGGCTAATAAATTGTATATAAAGGCTAATAAATTGTAATATTGAGTATCAAGCACAAAGGTTAAAACAGTTATTAAGAAAACCAGAGTATGTAACAAGTTTACTGAAAAGAAAAAAAATTGTACGCTATGTCGCTTCCACATCTAAGAAAAATCAACAACACCCATATTTACAACCGATCCATTTCGGCTACAGAGCGTGCCAAATAAATAGATATACACACATACATCGGGCAGTCTGGTACAAAAAGTAAAGCCGAAGGTGCTTAGTTGTTGTAGGTAGTTGTTGCAATTATTGAAGTAATTTTATTGTTAAAATACCTTTGGACGTTTGTTCTAGTACCTTTCGGTTAAGAGTGGTACGATGTAGACTGATCTAGAAAGTTTTATATTCTTCTTATCGAGTATAAAGGCGTGTACCAGCGTTCGTAGAATTAATTACCTTGGGAATGCGAAATTGAACTCCACTTAAGGAAGTGACTAAGAACAGCAGAACTACGACGTCTGCGATTATGAAGGACCTAATCAAAGAAATATAGCTATTTTGGACGAAATTGTAGAATACATCCATTTTACATTACAATTGGTATTTTTACTTAATACAAAACAATTACTTAAAACAAGCAGCGACCAACTCAAGGGAAATTGAAAACTACTATTTTCGTATTATATATATCATTAGACTTGCAAAAAATCTCCTCCAGTCATGTTCTTGAATAATTGATTTTAAAACTGTATAAATAATATGCAAATAAAATAACATGTCAACATATTATGTAATGGTCGCTAACAGAAAAAAAAAACATGTGCGCAGTTCACAATATCAAGTTCACATGTGGTAGAAGTGAAACCTATTTCATGGCAAATTATTTACATACTTAGTTCGATAATTTTCAACCACAAGTGCGGCATAAGATGTAACATAACATAAAATAACATAAAAGTTTCATCTTATAGGCAATAAATATTACAATCCTTATTTTTAAATTTGTTGAGTCTATATCAAAATAATATTTTCTGTCAAGTGAAACTGTTTTGTAATTGCGCCATTTAATTTATTCTATAGGTAAAATTATTTTATCGAACAAAAATTGATTTATCCCCAAGATGGTACATATAATAAACGCTAAATGGCCTAAACACGACTAATTTAATATAATATTCTATCTCATTTTATCGCAGGCCAAAACCTATATACTATAATGGTAAAGAAGTTTTCACATTAAAAATGTAAAACCTGGAATGAAACAACAGATTTAGTCTTACCGTTCCTGTATTGGCACACCACAATTTTAAAGTCATATCATAACTCCCGGTCAAGATGCGGTTTTCGTAGAACTGGAGGCAGGTTATGTAGTGGTCATTTTGGCAGCGCATTATGATAGGATTGTTAACTGGTTTGTGTAGCCAATTTTTCTCAATGATGTACTGCCTCATGTACGTCGATTTCCACGGGCTGGCAAGTAATAACGGTGGAGGCATTTCGTTCAGAGTCGTAATTCCAGTGCGGCGGCATTGCTCCTTCCAAAGAAGGTTATCATCCGCAAGAGTTCTGGAATATAAGTCGAATATATTTTAAACCGGCGCGATATACTATGTTAATTTATTATATTACTCTATATGGTCTCACTTTGACATTTAGAAAATAAAAAGAAGAAAATGAGTTTATATAATAAGACATGATAGAATTTGCTTACAATAATAACATAGGTATTACAAATTTATTTTTATTTCGCCGTGTAGTGGCGGTTAAGAATATCCACTACCCCATATCTTCCCGTGGGTATCGTAAGAGGCGGCAGAGGGAGACAGGCAGGAGATAGGCAGCGGCGTCTTTGTGATAACAGTATAATAAACAATAGTACAATAAAAACTGCTGTTGCCAACTTGCTCGCCAAGCGTGTCAAATATGGCAAATATCCCTCAACGAGCAATAACCTGAATAAACACCCCCAGTGCCCGGCGGCGCCGCCTATTCCTGTCTACCGTGGCGACCACGATAACGGCGGGGCAGGGAGTGATTAGAATCTTCGGTGGAGGGTTTGGATGCCACCTAAGACGGCGCGACCTGGCAACATATAACATATAACCCTGTAGGCTGACGAGAAAATCCTGGAGCGGAATAAGAGATAGACAAGTTGCGTTGGGATATTATAGGATTATCTGAGGTCCGAAGACAGGGAAGACTCTGTAATCCTCGAATCCAGCAACTTGTTCTACTATCGAAGGCGACCATTTGTCCCAAGGAGATGTCGGATTTATCTCTCACGTTAACCACATTGTAAAGATTATGAGTGTGTCGACGAGGGTATCGTACTTTATACTCAAAATCACCAAACGGTATTCGTTAAAGTTCATACAGATTTACTCAACAATCTCGGCACATCTCGATGTATGAGGATATCTCTACCGATACATTATTCCCAACCGACTATACGGTGACCTGAAGGTAGGGAAATTCGGAGTAGGGCAACAGAACCTAAGGGGCCAGCAGCTGGCCGACTTCATAGAGAAAGTGGGACTCTTTATGATGAACCCTTTCTTCCAGAAGCGGTCCCTCATGAAGGGGACCTAGTCAAGCCCAGAAGGTTCGACAAAAAATGAGATTGACTGCATTATAAATATATAATATAATAAAATATAAATTAATATATTTTTATAAATATCTCCGTAACATCGCTGACTTTAAATTGATAAGACACTTCTATTTAGCTTTGAGTCAACACATACTCACTTATGGCAATACTTCCTTAGGTTGGTGTTTATAAAACAATATTGTTCTGACTAGAACGTCCTCAAAAAGCAGTTCTAAAGGTAGCTACTTTCCGTCCATTCATGTTTCCTCCACATCAACTTTACTTGGCATGTAGTGTACTAACAATCCGTCATTTGTTTATCCTGAACATTATATTAACAGCATACCGAACTTCCATTTTACTTAAAATCCATATACAGGAGAAGGATGGACTTTTGTGTAAATCCTCAAACCAAACACGCATTTGTGAACAGATTTCACATATTTTTAGGACCATTTCTATATAACAAGCTTAATAAGTCACTAAAGATCTAAAGTGTAAGTTATAAGAAATATAATTTATTGTAAGGGAATATCTGAATAAATTAAATTACGAAGACACAGAGAGTTGTTAGAAATATAAAATATAATAAAATAGTTTGTAATTATTGTAGGTAACATATAATTGTTATTTAGTTATTTTATTTATTATATAATATAGTTTAATAATATAAATTATCTAGTGTCCTACAATATTAAACTCATAGTGTAAGTGATGGCTTGAAACACAGGTACCCTACCTAGTTCAGGCAGGTAGGTAGTATTATAAACGTATATTATTAAGCTACACATAGTTTTAATTATTATTAATGCTTGTTATATTATTAGAATTATTGTTACTTTATTTAATTGTAGTCATTTTTGTTCCTGTATGTAAAACATGTGCAATTGGAAATGTATTTATTATTATATAAATTTATTTATTATAATGACGACTAGACGGCAACTGTTCAATAATGTCTCAGTGATTGCGAGGGTGAAAACTGGCAGCTATCACCAAATGGTTCGAGGCACACTGAACCTAAACGTTAAGTTGGAGAGATCACGTCTAATGAAGTCAACGCCCCGTCCCTCTCGTGCTCTAATCAAAAGTCCTGAAAGCTTTCAGCTCGAGCTACAAAACCATTTTACGTGCTTAGAAGACTGCAATGCATTGGACGATATTAATGACAAGCTCTGGAAACTGTCCATGCGGTCGGAGAAAATTCTGCGAAACCCATCGCAAAAGAACAACGAAACTCTCCGAGCACACTCTAAATCTCATGGCTGTTAGACGGGAAATTAAGCTGCAGCCTGTATGCTGTAAAATCTGCTTCAGCAGATTTTACAGCATACAGGCAACTGAACGGAGAGACCTCTAAATGCATGCGTCGGGAGTTATGCAACTTCAATACAGCTCGTAATCAACAAGCTATCCAGGACTGCAGTCTTTGCCAGAGATCTGTCTGCAGGAAAGAGCCAATTGTTAAAGCTGAAGACCGATGTGGCAGCATCGTTTCCGGAACAAATGAGATTTTTGTTAAGATTTAAAACATATACATTAGTTTTAAATAAACAATATAAGAAAAAAATAATAGAAGTTTTATTTTATAGTTTTACAATAATGTGACGACAATCAACAAGTAACGTTGCTAACATACCTATTTCTTTTTAATATTTCGTGTATCTTCTTAACATTCGCTTTCATTTTAGAACTTCATGCCCATTTTTATAGTTAAATCCAAAACACGAGGTATATAAAGATTTTGTTAATATATCAGCAAGCTGATCTTTAGCACATGTTTTCAGCACCTCTAAATTTCTTTGCTCAACACATTCTCTTATAAAGAAGTGTCGTATACGAATATGTTTCGTTCGATGGTGCATTTTAAATGGTGGATCATGGGCTAGCTTTACAGCCGATTCATTGTCAAGATGTAGTCTGGGAATACTTTCACAACTATCAACTAAAAATCTTAATATTTTATCCATCCAAATGATCTCTTGCTGCTTCACTAGCAGCAACTAGTTCAGCTTCTGTAGATGATATATCTACGCTAGATTGCCGCTTACTTTGCCATGCTATTGCACCACTATAGTAAATGCACAGAATAACTGATGTCGACCGTCCAGTGCTATGATCACCTCCATGATCTGCATCACTATAGCACTCTAAATGATTGCAATTACTCGAACTTTCGTAAATTATACTATAGTCAGTTGTGCCTTTTAAATATCGCATTATGCGTTTCACCTTAGCCACATTTTCTGCCGTAGGATTATCCAGATTTCGTGACACAGCTCCTACCGCAAATGCTATATCTGGTCGAGTTCCAGTTATGAGATAGGATAAGGAACCCACGACTTGACGATAAAAATATTTTGGATTAGTTTCATTGGGAATTTTTGTCATTGTCAATATCCTTACAATTCTGCATACCAAACCGTTCAAGTATTCTTTTCGTAAATCCCTTTTGATCAATTTTTATAGATCCATCTACTTTTCTATCGATCTCAATTCCGAAAAAATACGATGCAGTTTTGAACGTGATTTTGAAATTTTTGTTCATCTCACCCATAAAATTGTCTATTTCATTTAAATTTTTTGCTGCTACTAATCCATCATCGACATAGAGAGCTATGACAGTTTTAATACCACCCCGCTTCTTTACGAAAATACAAGGGTCAGATTCACTTTGTTTAAAACCAATTTGTAATATATATTGTGTAATACAATGATTCCTACAGCGTCGCGCCTGTTTTAAGTCATAAAGACTCTTTTTTAATTTACAGACCATGTTGGACATACTGTTATAACCTTCGGGAGGCTTCATATAAATATCTTCTTTAAGTGTTCCGTATAGGAATGCGGTTGAAACATCAAATTGGGCAATATCCAAGTTTTCTTTTGCTGCGACGCTTAGCACAGCTCTAGCAACAGGGCTAAACGTTTCGTAGAAGTCAACGCCCTCTTTTTGTGAATAACCTTTAACGACTAACCTGGCTTTGTAGCGATCTATTTCACCTTCGGAGTAGGTTTTTAACTTATATATCCATTTACAAGGTATTGCTTTTGCGACCATCAGGTAATGTTACCATTACCCGGGTTTCATTTTCCATTAAGGAATTGATTACGCTATCCATAGCCTCACGCCACTTGTCTCTATAAGAGCATGAAATTGCTTCTTTATACGTTTTGGGTTCTATCATTTCATCATTCAAAGACATATAGGCATAGTCCTGAAAACGAATAGGACGTTTAAGATTTGCTCGATTTCGAAGTGTCATTTGAGATTCATTTTGAATTTCATTTTCTAACAATTCATCCATGTTGTCCTCATTTTCTTCTTGTATGCAAGATTCCTGTTCATTTATATCACCTTTTTCTTCCATTGCATTAATCCTTTCTTGAGATCCCTCAATCTCGTCATTTGAAATGACTTCTTGAAGTATTTCATTATCATTTGGAACAGTAGATAAGGCAGAAAAACCCGGCAACTCAAACTGATTACATTTTGCTATAATTTTAACGTCATCAGTTAGAAGGTTATTTGATTTATCTATCAAAGGTATTTCTTGAAAAGTAATATCCCTGGAGCGAATAAGTTTATATCTGTATTTATAAAAAAAAAAAATCCATATTCGATAACCATTGTCTCCTTCATAACCTAACAGTATTCCTTTTTGAACTTTCTTGTCAAGTTTCATTCTCTTTTGTTTAGTAATATAAACATAGCACTGACAACCTATAATTCTCAGATGTTTCGTAGCTGGTTTTTTGCCATGCCACAATTCATGAGGAGACTTTCCTGCAATCTTCGTTGGCCCTGTTCGATTTAAAATGTAAACAGTGGTATTTACAGCCCATAGATCTTTTGGTATTTCTTCATGAGCATACATCATCGAACGTGCAGCCTCTACAATTGTCCTGTTATCCCTTTCGCATGCTCCATTTTGTTCGGGAGTATATGGCATAGTTAATCTTTGAATAATACCATTAATGCGTAAAATGTCCCAGACCTTCTGGTTATCAAATTCTCCGCCATTATCAGAAATAATTTCTCTTATTTTATGCCCAGACGCCATTATTTCTGCTACCATATTATTAAGCATTGAAGCTACTTCTGACTTTTCTTTCAGAAAATAGATAAAGCGATAACTGGTGAAGTCGTTTTTAAATAAAACAAAATATCTGTATTTCTGAAATAAATACGGGAAAGGCCCGCAAACATTGGTATGAAAAATTTCACCTGCCTTTGATGCTCTTGGTCTCGTTCCAAAACTTTTGCGGTGGGCTTTACCATTTATGCATCCTTCACAAAGTTCTTTGTCCAGAGCCACTTTAATGCCGAGCTCTTTATCTATCAACTGTCTTACATGTCTCTTATTTTGATGCGCCATCCTCTCATAGTAAATTTGTAGAAAATTGGACGTTGTTATCTGATTAATATGTAGCGTAGGTGGCACACACTTTAAATTCAGTTTAAATAACCCTCCATGTCTTTGCCCATTTCCAGTTAGCACAACTTTTCCATTTACTCTCAATGAACAGGTCTCAGCAGTTGATTCGAAAAAACAATTCAGTGAGCGAACTTGTGCAGCAAGCACAGAAAATAGATTTCTTGTAATCGAACGTACATACTAAACATCCTTTCGTAAAATATTTTCTAGTCCACCTTTAACATAAGCTTCAGCACGGACAGTACCAATTCCAACAGCCTCGATACTTTGCCCATTAGCCCCTGTGACGGTGTGGGAAGTTTTAAAATATTCAAAATGTTCGAAAAAATCCCCTCTATTGGTTATGTGACTGGTAGTGCCATTATCCACATACCAATTTGTCGTATCTACTAAATTGTCCATCTATAAAACCGTTTGGTTAGTTCGATTTATATTCACGTTTAATTGTTTAGGTGGCCTCCTCCTTCCTTCAGTGATCCACTTCTTGCATTTCCTTACTCTATGTCCTTGTTCCCCACAGTAATCACATTTGAAAAATTTCTTCCAATTATTATCTTTTCCGCTAATTTTTCTTTCTAGTTTTGCGTAAAGTGCCTCAGCAAAATTCTCAACTTCTACTCTGACAGACAAAGCTTTCTCATGGGCACATAGCTGGCAAGTTAAATTTTCAATTACTCTATCCTTTTTTGCCATTAAGAGCCAACTGCTTTTGAATCCAAAATATTGAACTGGCAATGTGTCAAGAATCTTACAAATCAGTAAAATATCAGGAAAATTTTCTGCTGACTCTAAATTTTTATTTAATTCGTGCCAAATATTCTTTAAAGTCGATATATGGGTAGCCATATTGTGATTGCTTTCAATTAGATATTTAAAGAAATCAAGACAAAGTTCGTAACTTTTATCTTCTGTTTTCCCATTGTAAAGATGGTTTAATTCATCCCACATCTCTTTCGAAGAAGTGAAACGCATGACTTGCTGCAGTGTCTCTTCAGACATGTTCGTAGTAAATATTACTAGGATTGTACTATCTGCATTCAAAAACTCTTTTAATTCATTCCCATATTTCTGATTCTCTTACAGCTATATCCGATAGCATGGGCTTATATCGTTTACCTTCAATGATATCCATTGCTCCGGGTATAGCTATAAGCACGATGAGAATTTTAAACTTCCACGTCTTCCAGTTCTTAGAATCTAGGTATCCCTTGTATCTTTCATGCTTCAACTATTGATTTATTTCTTCTTCAACTATTGCTTTAACCAAAAGTATATCCTAGATTTAGAACTTTTGTATTCACAAAGTTTAATTGCTTTTTTTTCGCTCTGCTACCATGTTAAGATTTAAAACGTATACATTAGTTTTAAATAAACAATTTAAGAAAAAAAAAATAGAAATTTTATTTTATAGTTTTAAAATAATGTGACAATCAACAAGTAACGTTGCTAAGATACCTATTTCTTTTTAATATTTCGTGTATCTTCTTAACAATTTTGAGTGAGATTGAATGGTTTTATGGGCAGGTGTACACATCACCGTCGGAGCCACATGCAAGTGTGAATAACGATCCAAGAACAAGTCTTATCCGACACTATGCTTATGATCACCCGGACGTCAGTCTGAGGGAGATTAAAATGGCTCTCTAGGAACTTAAAAACGACAAGACCCCGGACGAGAATGGAATTACAGCGGAGCTTCTGGAAGCGGGTGGAAAACCGGTACTTGAAGTCCTCCATGGTGGGACTCCTTCGAAGGCATGTAACAGAAGTGCGGTGGTCTTGTTCTTGAAGAAAGGCGTCAACGCTATCTTGAGGAACTATAGCGATGCTACACTCTCTTCAGCGTTGCAGACAGAGTTTGAAACCCCTCCCAATTACGGAGAGGTGTAAGGCAGGGTGGCGTAATATCCCCGAAACTATTCATCGCTGCATTGGGAGACGTTTTCAAGCTAGTGGACCGGAATGTCTTAAGATAATATTATGTTATATGACAAAGGTCTTAAGAAAAACATGAACAAAACAAATATCCTGTGTAATGTCCATGTCACACCTACGCCGGTAGTTGTTGGGAGCACTAAGCTCGAAATTGTTGACGAGTATGTTAACCTGGGACAAATAGTCCGAATAGGTAAGTCCAACTTGGATCGAGAGGGCAATTGACGGATTCAACTCGGCTGGACAGCGTTCGCGAAATTACGACACATCTTCCTGTTAGGTATACCTCAAAATTTGAAAACGAGATTGTACAACCAGTGCGTGCTACCAGTGATGACTAATGGATCTGAGACATGGTTCTTGAATGCTAGCCATATGAGGAAAATGAAGGTCACTCAACGAGCTATGGGAAGGGCTATGTTCGGGGTTTCCCGGCGTCAGAAACTTAGAAATGAGGATATCCGCAGTAGAACCAGAGTGACCGACATAGCCTTACGGGTTGACGTCACCGTTACAGCCTATTCAAGTCCACGCATTTCCTATTGCATATAAACACGCTAATTTCATTATTGGGTTGACGAAATTTAATATCCTGGATAAATTCATCAGTTTTAATGTACATTTGTAATCCCTTTTAAAATTTCTTTGCTCACAGATGAGTTAGCAAAGAACTGTGCGATTTTTTGCAAGCATTCCAAAAAACGTTAGGATAAGAAATCGTCTTTAACGTTATTTTAAGTTGTTTTATTCCAAGATTGCAATGAATGTGTGTCCTGTCCTGTGAGTGACTCCTTTTATTTCAGTGTCGACCTTATATATGTCTACGGGTAATGTTTGCTAAGTATTTTAGGCCACTTTTTATAAATTCATGTTTCTATAAATGACTGTACACAGCCGAGGGGGAAAATCAGAAGAAAAATAAACGAATTCCGACAATCCACCACGTCTGGGGTGGATAGATGAACACACATTTCCGAGTATCCACCCTAGGGTGGATTATTTAGAGTGGATAAACGGAATAACCCCAGCAGTCTTGGTAGACAGTACCAAATTTCTATAATGTGTTACTAAATAAACTTATTATGTTCTTTCTATTTATTTTCTAAATGGCAAAGTGATATCATAAAGAGTTATAAATGAGTATCATATATGCAGAATAGAACGGAATAATTTTTATTCAATATAGATTATAAAATTATACTTATTGAGTCACTTTTTATTTACCACTACCCTGGGAAAGACCAGCAAGAAACCCAGCGGAACAATTATTTTTTGTAGATAGTGTGAATATCCACTACTTCATATCCTCCCGTGGATGTCGTAAGAGCGTCAGAGGCAGAAGTATCAATAATAACTAAGAAATTATGGTCAGTACCCTCCTTATGAGGCAATATGGGGTGGGGGTGACACGTATTTTCGCCTGGGAACTAAAATGCCTTGTTACTATTTTTATGTCAGAATAAAGGCGACAAACGAGCACTCATCCCACCTGATGGTAAGTGAATGATGTGTCCATAGACATCTACATTTATCCTCGATTAAGAATCAAATACGCAGATGCGTTGTCACTCCTGAGGACTAAGACGGAATGCCTCGTTTCTAGCAAAAAAGGGTCTCCGGATCTCTAAATCTACTAATGTATAAAGGATCTTCAATAAGAAGGGGTATTTCATGATAGTAATCTGTGCGAGCGTGATTCCATCCTGTCCACTGACCATACATTGCATTGCCTGCAAAGTGAGTGGTGAGTCTACTTTATAAGTACAAAGTGCAAGCAACATATAAGAAATATATTTAAAAACGGTTATTAAGTTATAAAAATGTATTAAAAAAACTGTTTTACGTCAAATTCAATCAAAGTGCGAGCAACATACAAGAAATATATTTAAAAACGGTTTCCAAGTTATAAAGCTGTACTAAAAAAACTGTTTTACAATTCAATGTTATGTACTACACGATCACTACACGATCGAAAAACGGCTATAAGGAATATAACGACAGTAAATGCAGACTTCGTAGAACAGAAAAAATAATAACATTCTAAAGTCGGTAAATGTAAAGCTAAGACATAGCGTATTGAAGAATTAAAGGCCGACTTAGGAATGCGAAAACATTTTTTGGGTAATAAAATAATTTTTAACAAAATTTGTAATGGGCTGATGGACTCTTATTGCGTTCAGCTTCACATTTCTGTGATTCTTTTAGATCAGGTTGAGTAAGTTCGAGCAGTATTCACTTACCACCAGGTAAACCACATGCTCGTTTGTCTTCTCTTCTATAAAAATACCCAAAACGTTGAAGCCAGGTATTCTAACCAAATGGACGGAACTAGTATTTAGAAAAACACCCAATGTAGTTTCCATATTATGCACTCACCTCCAGTGACGGCAGATCTGAGCCATTCTCATCAAATCCTTGGGCTTTAAGTATCCTAAAACTGTTAACGCCAGTTCATTAGGTAGTTGTGAGATGAAGTCCTGTTGTAACCGAGACTCGATATCACCAGAGCAGCTATTGATGAGCGCATGTACAGCCTGGATCTTCTCTTCGTTGGACCAAGTCTGAAATCTGTTCGAATTGGGTTGGCTTTAGTAATCTGCGGTACGATTTAAGTAATCATGTTAGCTTTAGTTTACAGGCAATGATACTATTGATACCATCCAGCTGTTTTTATGCCGGAAATCGTTAGTTTTCAAGATATCAATAGTTATAGTTTTGAGGTTATATCCATTTAAAAATGATACGAAAATTGAATTACAATATAATTATTAGAAAGAGATAGCAGTAGGGCATGGTCTTTATCTGTTTTAAAAAATAACACGCAACAACAATATAATTATTAGGAGATAACAATAGTATTGTTTGTATGATCTGTTTATAGTGCTATCCTACTCTAACATACGGTTGTGTAACATAAACCACATGAAAAAACAGAAAAAAGACACATGAAAAAGAGACATATTTTTTTAGTCACTATTACACTTTTGCCTTTGGCCTTGGAATGTTTTGCGCTCATTTTTTTGCTCCCAACTCTTGAGCCTTGCTCGATTACCGGACCTCCGATTACCGCCTGGTTCTACTTTCGACTTCTTCTTGTTCTTTTTTGTTTTATTTACCCCAAATCGTGCGAGAGCTCGGTACCTGAGAGCAGTGTGTGGTTTGCCGTTGAAAATGGATTAATCCCTACTGAAAGTGAAATATGGGCAAAATAAAAATGTGGCCTCCTTTGTGTTCAATAAAGGAAATTTCAGAGCCCGATCTAGGATAGCTCGTGGCAAAGGCACCTGTTTTGAAAATATTAAAATATCATTTCCACGAGTATTCTATCTGATTTACTGCTATGCACATCGCTGGAGCTATGAAGACGTATAATATTACCAACTTCATGCAATCCATGAAGTCCCTAAAAAAGATATGAAGGGAGGCTGTTTATCCATGGCGTCTGTCTGCGATTGAAACAATTACTGCCGGGAGACAGTCGTCATTTACCAAATAGAGCGGCAAGGGGCCATCGGAAAGATTGGTGGCCCAGGGAAAGTTGTCTAAATAGACGATTCAAAGGGAGACAATCAATTTTTGTATGGAGAATGGGCCCACCACAAATTTTCGCGTCCCGCAATGAAATGCATGTCGATTTATTCCTTATAATCTATAGATTACAATAGTAATATTAATTTTACCACTGAAAACTGAGAAATTAACAATTAAAATACAAATTTTAAAATAACCTAGAAATAAACTAAAAGCTATTTATAGTAGTTTTACCGGTATTTTAAGTTAAATAGTGCACTGTTGAATAATAGTTCATATAAAACCAAGTTGTAGGTACATTCAGCATTTCAGCATTTACAGGTACTTCAAAATCCATGGAAAATCTTTTTAGTAGTTACGGCAAAATATAGTGCCTGTCCGTGTACAAATGTGGTATGGAGTGTACTTTCCAAATACCATTAAAATAATATGATTTGATTCAAGATAACTAAGGTATAATATCTCCATTTATATTTATAATATTACCAACACACGTTATATAGTAAGAAAGATGTTTTAAACTGACTGTGTGAAAATCAAGTTATAATGCAACCGTATTTATAGATAGTAAATCATCATTTCCAACGTAGTCTATAATTCAGACATATAATTCAGATCTATTAATGCAGACAAACAGACAGGCCCGGTGTCAAGACTTTTTTTAATATGCTTTGGTTGATTATTAAATACCTAATTATACATCATAAAATGACTGGGTTCTAAAATACCAAAATGACTAGGTAATATCATGCTTATCTGTTATTACACACTGATAAATAGTGAGAAAGTAAGATGTCTTGAACTGTTTGTGCCAGGATAACAAACACACAGATATAGTTTAATTGTATTTATTATTAGCGATCCGCCCCGACTTCACAGGTGATTTCTGGATTTCGACAACATCGCCACCTACTGACTCCATATGTGAATATGAATCATATAGAGACCCATTCAAACACACATAAACATTTCATCAAAATCGCTTGGATGGTTCATAGCGGACATAGGTAGAAAAATTTTTTAGAAATCAGAAGGATATTGTCAATTAAAAGAGATAAAAAAGGGTGCCAGAGCAATAAATTAAACTTTGCTCGGCGTTTATTTGTAAATTACACATATAACATAATATATAACAGATAATAAAGCATACAGTAAAATAGAAATAGTTCAAATAAGCAATAAAAATTACAATTTTTAGCGATCATTCATCATCATCATTACAACAGTCCACTGCAGAACATAGAGCTCCTAAATTAAATATATAATGTAAAATATTACAGTGGCCTTCCGTGAATTACCATCCCGTTCCGTCCCGTATGGTGTCGTAAAAGTCGACAGAGTAAAATAAAAATACCAGGAGATGAGCAGCAGCATCTAGCTATAGAATACCACAAAAAACTTTGGTTGCCACAAGTGGAGCAACTATAGCGAAAATCATTTATATTACAATATTAATACACTTTAAGATTAATAATCATCATTCATCATTTTCAATATCATTACTTGTAATATATCATCTAAAACAGATGCAGGTGGTTCAACCTCATCTAAAACAGATGCAGGTGGTTCAACCTCATCTCGATGCCGTGCCCAAGACCAGACAACAGACGTGACATGTGCACGGCAGCCAATAGTGCGTCTGCCTACCAAACAGGTGCAACAGTACCCAGTAAGAGCAGTCCTAGTGTTAGCAATTGATGGGTTTGTGTCACTACTATATAAGTGTAATAAGTTTTTTTACTAGTGTGCCTTGATTGTATCCTACCTCGCAATAGATAACTATTTGGACCAAAATCATGGACAGATTGCAGGTATACCTCGATTTTATATTCTCCAGAGGCCCTGACATGCTGCCCGTAATAACTATGAGCTTGTTTAATTTGATAAATTAGACTAAACAGAATTAGATCCTGGAATGTCAGTTGAGGAATATTATCCAGCTCTGGAAGATTACCATTAATGCTGGCAAATCGCACTCTTACTCTATTTAAATTGTGCATTTCTACATAGGAGGCTAAATTATTCGGAGTGTTTAGTTTGGCTTGAGCAATTGCCAATATCTCTACAGCATGAAAATTATTACGGATCAACGTATGAAATCCATTTATTAATGCAGCTGCAATTTTAAAGTATAGCATGAGATGAGTAGATGCAGTATTAAAATATTCCTGACGAAATAATTTGAAGTCCCGTTTAAATCACCCATTTACGATTTCAATCACCCCCCTGCAGAAAGTTACACATCTGGACTTGTTGGCAGCAATGGTTGATAATTGGATTTCACCAGCTTGTTTAGATTCAGGCATGTGAGCCTTATAATCACATTGCTGCAAGAATGGAATTGCATCCCTAAAACCTCTATCAAGAATAAATACATCGTTTTCTCTAAAATAGGTTCGCAGTGAACTATTATCGTTGAACAGTCTAAGAATTATTTCAAGCATATGATTCTGTTACAGGATATGGTCCAAAACATCAAGGATATAACCATTACAGTACACTATTATAAATGGCTTAACTAAGTTACGATACTTATGTAAACTATGTTTGCTTCTGGTACAAGTAATTACTACTTTTTTGCACATAAATGTATGTACCATCACATATTACTATGGCTAGCATAAATTCAGGATCCATATCTGGATTACCAAACAAGCCATTTATGGTATTGTCAAGTTATATTGAGCAACTTGTTGAATGCATAAGGTATTTGTCCCTAAATGCAGTTGGATGAATTACTCTTCAAAGCACTGACTTACAATATTTAAGTGATTGAACACAGTCGATGAAGCTACATTAAATAGAGAAGCTATGCGTTCATTGCTATCACCTGTACGAAGTTTCATTAAGAACATAGCCAGACTTCTTTTAGGTGATTGAATTCTTTCACTGATAGATGGAATTTCAACTAGTAACTGTTCAAATTGGTAGTTGGTAAATCCTAACCAATATTTGCATAATATTGAATTATGTTCAATAATATTTAAAATATTATAATTTTGAGTAACACTACTTTTAAGTAAGGAACAAAGGTTGTCTATCTGAGATGCAGTGAAATCTGAACAGTTACTACTCGTGTACAAATTATTCCAATCATTGTGGGGTTCATTTAAATGGTATTCACAAATACGAGCGCACAGTGGCACATAAAATGAGTGATCAATCAGCAATCTCTCTTTAAGTAGTTTAGGTATTAAAAATCTAGATGAATGATTACATAACTTAAAAATACAGTGACGGGAAGTAGAAGCAGCATGCTTTTAATTAGCCATAGTAATTGTTGATACCGCTCTGGAAATGGCAGGGGTTACAGATGCAGGTATAGGGGGTGGTTGTGGGATGTTACCGATGTTTTCTATATTCATGGATTGTAACTCCATATCCCTGTTCTCATTTTGTTGTCTCTGTCTCCATACAGCTCTGGAAGCCCTCAGCCAGCAAGGACTGCATACTCATTCTAAACTATCCACCTGAAAAGTTTTTTTTTATCAACTAACAGAATGAACTATAGTTTTACAGTGTCTACTCTAAATATTAATAATATTTATTATTCTATTTATTTCAATCTTTCTAACACTAAATAGTTTTAATGCCTTTTAAAATTATAAATATTAGCATGCAATTGTTTCCCTTCATAATATTTTTGTGGCACTACTTATTTAAAAAGAAATAAAAAATACATCACATATCAGACAAGAAGTAATTATTTTAGAATTATAACATTATTTGACTAAGCCCAAGTTCTTTAAAGTTTCAGATAATATTCCCCAAACAACTTTATTATACCGACCACAAAAAAAAAAATTTTTAAAAATTTTAAAAAAAAATTTTAAATTATAAATTAAAAAAATTTAAATTTACATAATAAAAAACGGCCCAAACATTGAATGATTGAATTGAAAAACTGTCATTCTTTACGAGTTGGGGTACTTTCAACTAATTGTAAATAATTTTATAAATCTTAATAAAACAGAAAAGATTCAATCTCGATTCTCTAGTCACAAACGAAATGTCAAACACGTGAGAATATTTAATTAATTAGTCATTTACCAATATTTTTAAAAAATAATTAAAAATACTTCGATGCTGCTCCGGCAGCAAAAAATTCATGTGAGTGCTTCAGATAAACCCCCTTGAAGATTCTGTTACTGTGGGGGGGCCACAGTAACAGAATCTTCAAATTGAGGCGACCGAATTGTAAACCCAACCAGTTTTATTTATACTAACGCCATTTAAGGTAAAAATTATTACTTGTATATTAAGTACAAAGGCATACAAATATGGGTGTAAGGTAAGGAAGAAGTAGCGTTTATCTAATAACTAAAAATAACAAAACTGATTATTAATGGCAAATATCCCGCCATAAGAAAATCTACGGGAGAGTTCTATATTCAGCAGTAGACTTTTGGTAGACTGTAAAGTTAAAGATAACCTGTTAGTGAACAGCCATGTTGAATGAGCATAAATATCAGACAAATTGTGTGCAAGGTGTCTGATTTTACAAACACCAATCTGTGTACCAAGTTTAGTTTAGTTTAGTTTGCGACGGGCTGTTTTCCGCAACTCCACGTCTATGCGCGTATTTTGCGTGTGGGCAGGAATAATGTGATTATTCGAGCCATGAGATCTTCCCCGAAGAAGCTCAACAGTCCCTTGATGTTGCATGCAACTTCGGGGGAGTGATCCCGGCGTGCCGAGATGTTTAGCCCTGTACGTAGCGACCTCCGGACATTTCAGTAGCACGTGGGCCGCCGTTTCTTCCTCCCCAATACATGCCCTGCACAGGGGACTATCTGTAACACCTATAGTAAATAAATGTTTGTTAAAGGTGCCGTGTCCTGTGATAGCACTTGTTACTATCCTGATCTGTGGCTTGTTCAGTCTCATTAGAACTTTGGTTAAGCGACTGTTTATTACAGGTAGGGCCTCCCTAGCTTGTCTACAGTCTACTAGATTTTTCCAAAGCTGAGCGTGTTGATTAGTGAAGTGTCTACGTGCCATTGAACGAACGTTACCAAAGGGGATTGGTATGATTGGTTCCGGCCCTATAGTGGCCAGAGCCGATCCTCTTCTGGCCAGTTCGTCCGCTGCATCGTTGCCTCTGGATCCACTGTGTCCCTTTATCCATTGCAGAGTCACATTGTTGTTTTTACATACCTCATTTAATCGTTGATGGCATTCATATATTAGTCCTGAGTTCACCCCATTGCAACTCAGAGCTTGTAGTACCGCCCTACTGTCGGTCAGTATTCTGATGGGGAAGTCATTAACCTTCCTAGCATCTATTGCTATGGCCGCTTGAATGATACCCATACATTCCGCCTGAAAGACCGTGTTATAGGTACCCAGCGGTGTGCATATGTGAATATTGAGGTCTTCAGAGAAAGCTCCAGAACCTACACCTTCATTTGTTTTAGAACCATCGGTGAAAATTCTAAGCTCTTTTGGGCTTAATCCTTCCGGCTGGCTGTTTTCATTTAATTGTATCTTGTATTTCTTATCGAAAACAAATTGTTTAGGAATCCTATCGTATTTGGCTTGTAGGATAGGAATTTCTGAGTGAATTCTATCAATTATGCCTGTATGAGGGACACTATTCTTACTCCAAAGATTTAGGGTCTTGAGTCTGATGGCAGCTAAAGTCGCTTCTTGTTGTATATGTAGATGAAGCGGAGTTAGCTCCAGCATCGCTTCCAAGGCTGCTGTTGGCGTAGTTCTTATGCAGCCTGTGGCAGCCATACATGCCAGTCTCTGGTAGCGCTGAAGCTTCTTAATTGTGGTGGCTTCATTGGTCATGGTCCACCATACCAGAGCGCCGTATGTGATCATGGGCCGAATTACAGTTTTGTAAAGCCACAGTATGATTTTTGGCGTCAGTCCCCATCTTTTGCCAATCATGTTTCTGCATTGCCAGAAAGTTATACTAGCTTTGTTGATTTTGTTTTCTATGTGTTTATTCCAGTTAAGTTTGCTGTCCAAGGTAAGACCTAAATATTTTACCTCAGAGGATAGCTGGAGTTTTGTGCTGAAAAGACTTGGAAGATGATAGTTATTCAGCATTCGTTTTTGTGTGAACATTACTAAAACCGTTTTATTTGGGTTGACGGTTAAGTCGTATTCCCTGCACCATCTCTCCACTATACGGAGAGCCGCTTGGGTCAGGTCGCACACTATGCTTACTGTCCTTCCCGAGACCAGTATTATCAGGTCATCAGCATAACCTACTGTATAGAAGTGATTAGTATTTAATTTGCTGATGAGTTCATTAATGACCATATTCCACAGGAGAGGTGAGAGGACCCCACCCTGCGGGCAGCCTTTCTTAATTAGGATTGGTTGAGATTCACCAGCAATCTTTATTATTCGTGTACTGAGCATGCAAACTATCCAGTCGATCAGTGCCGGTTCAACTTTATGTCTACTGAGTGCACCTTTTATGCTGGAGAAGTTCGTTCTGTCAAAAGCACCTTCTATATCTATGAAGGAACCTAGACATATTTCTTTGTTTTGGATGGCCTCTTCAATCTTTGTAATTACCTGATGAAGTGCCGATTCTGTTGATTTGCCTAGACTGTAGGCGTGTTGCTTGTCGTGTAGTGGTAAGTTCATTAGCGCCGACCCCCTTAATTCCCTTTCACACATCCTCTCCATCGTCTTTAGGAGAAAGGATGTGAGGCTAATGGGCCTGTAGGATTTAGGGTCAGTGTAATCGCTCTTACCTGGTTTGGGTATAAATGTGACTTTCACCTCCCTCCATCCCCTAGGAACATATTTAAGAGCCAGACAGGCTCTCATTATGGAAACAAGTCTGACTATTAGGGCTTTACCCCCCCACTGTAGGAGTGCCGGGAGTATGCCGTCAGGTTCTGCCGCCTTATAGGGGAGGAAACTGTGAATGGCCCAATGGATTTTGTCCATCGTTACCACTCTCTGTGCTAAATTCCAGTCTTCTACTGTTGGTGTCAGTATGTCGTCATGCCGGTTTGCCTCCTGGGTTAAGCAGCAACCTGGGAAGTGCGTTTTAATTAGGATGCGTTGGGCTTCATCCGGCGATGTTGAGTAGATACCGTCAGGTTTCTTTAGAGACATGGATCCCGACGTGTTCTGTTTAGCTAGAATATTCCTTATCCTATTTGCTTGTTCGCAGGTTTCTATGTTGCCACAGAATTTACGCCACCCAGTCGAGCGTCGATACCTGATACATTTTTTCTATTCAGACTTAGCTTTCTTATATAGTAGCCAGTCTTCATCCATTGAGGTATTCATGGCCCTATTTAGGGCTTTTCTTACCTTCTTACGTTTCCTATCGAGTTCTTCACCCCACCACTGTTGCTTTACCTCGGCATGCCTTGGTGGAGTGATTTCTGGACATGATTCATGGTAGCTATCTATCATGGCCTTAGTAACAGCTGCTTCCTGATCTTCTAGGAGCGAATGATCTGCTATAGTATTTATCCCCTCAGAACCCGCGAGCGAAGACGTCAGCCTATTTAGGTATTTTGTTTTATCCGTCTTGCGGGGATTTCTCCATGGTGGTGTAGAGGGGATATCGACCTGTAGTGTGAAGCAGATCCATCTATGGTCTGAGCATGAGGCCTCTTTCGACACATGCCATCCCGTAATTAGTTTGGCTGCTCCTTCTGTTGCAAGTGTGAGGTCGATTATAGTGCGACAGCGTTTGTTTATGAAAGTAGGTTCATAACCTATGTTTAAAATGGTTAGGTTAGTACTAAATAAATATTCAACTAAAACCTTACCACGTTCATTTGGTTTTTCCATTCCCCAAAGGGGATGATGTGCGTTGGAGTCCGTCCCGATCACAACCTCTAGTCCGGTCCTCTCGCAGAAGTTCACCAGCCTGCCGAGGTCAAGAGGGGGGAGGAGTGTCTTCCTCCGGCATGTAGACCGAGGCGACGACTAATCTTCTCTCCTGTGTGTATTGTATTGCCACGGCATACATGTCTCTAGAACAGAAATCTGTTAATGGTTGTGCACAGATATCTTTAGTAGTGTAGATACACGCTCTAGGCTTGTCGTGTTCAGAGCTGTAGAATAGCTTACCTTTTAGGTTGTTTAGGCCTTTAATTTTACCAGCCCCAACCCACGGCTCCTGGATTAAGGCTATGGCAGTCCTTTGAACCTCCAACCACTTGCGTAATTGAGCCGACGCAGTTTCGCTGTGGTGGAGGTTGGCCTGCACTAGGCTAGTTTCGGACGAAGGGCACGCCATCATTGATCGCGTCCTCCCCGTCCCCGCCCAAAAATAGGCCTGCCAGAAGATCTCGGGTCTCTTCGTCAGCCACCGAGTCGGAAGTGGTCGGCAAAATGCAGTCCTCTTCGTCACTCAGTGAGCTG